GAATAATAGGGAAAATGTGATACAGAACATAAAACAATAATAAGAACAATAATATAAGGAATAAGAAAAAATGTAAGAATTCAGAACAAAGATAAAAAATAAAGACCAAATTTCTAATTTTAGAAAGTGAAGTTGTCAATGGAAGAAGCAAAAATGCAATAGCAAGCACCTTTCACCTGCTTTAATTCAGATAACAAACAAAATTATTTTTAAAAAAACAAGCCTTTTAGACAAATAAATAAATACATTCCCGATTCTGCAATATTCTTCAAATGCACATTCCAAGCCTGACATCAGACTTACATGGTCAGAAAGAGATTCTGAATGAATCATGGATACCTCCTCATCTTCTGCATCCTAATTGATCAAGATATTAATTAACACTAATTAGTTATCATTACTAATTAATGATGAATAATAATACTGAAAATTGGTTGTCCATTGGTATCTGTCTGTAAAAAGTTTCATAGCGCATCGACAAGACACTGTACTTCAAAGGAAAATATACAACCAATTTTTTTTTTTAAATTTATTTAATTATTTATTTAAAAGTTTTAATATCCTAATAGGGAAGAAGGGAAGAAATTACTTTTATCCTAATGTCAATAATTTCTTTATATATTATCTCAGATTTGGAAGCATATGAAGACAATTTAGGGGTTATATTATGGTAAGAATAATAGTACAGCACTTACTAAATATAATAATATTGAAAAATCAAATCATGTGAGATAAATAACAGGACAAAACAATACCTATTATTATAGAGTGCTATGAAATTGATTTTCACAAAAATAAGTTTAGTGATTATTAATCTACACTAGGGAAGTGCTAGTTATGATGTGAAACACACAAGATAAGAATTATTATACATGGGTGAATGATGTGTGTGTGCTACTGGTACATACAATAAACAGTTTACACCAGTTCTCTTAACAAATTCAACCAGGGCTGCCAAATAATTCTTTTTAATTCATTATTTAACCCTTTGTGTGCATTTTTTATTAATTATTAAAATAATTGTACGATTCTCCATATTTAATACTGTAGGTTAGCTTGTAAACACCCCTCCCCCAGAGGATAAGACAACAGGACAACCCCACCCAAATACAGTACCCTACTAGGCAGCCCTGATTCTAGCTGGCTGCATTCACTTCACATGTAGACATCTGATTGAAATGTAACATTATTGCTTAAACATATCTTACATCTTGTACCGGAGTATTATCCTCCTCATCTGCTACTTGTTCAGTACTTACTCCTTCCTTCTCCTTTATTGGTAGGCAGAAGAAGAAAAGGAAAGAATGGAAAGATATCAAGAAGAAATGAAACAATCAAGTGTATAATGAAAAAGTACAGTAATTAAAACAATTGGAAAAGAGACAACTTTAGAAGGTTAAAATTAATATACAGATTTGAAAAGAGTAGAAGTGAACTGAACAGAAAGAAATGCTTTTTACTTTAGATTACAAACTTTTGATAACACAGTGGACTTAAGCATGAGATTGGCATTAGCATATTATTACTACAGCGTTTAGAAAGACCTCTTGCACTTTTCAACTTTACTCATTTTTTTCCTGATACTTCAACCTGGTGATCATTTTGAATTTCATCAATGGGATGATGTGAAATTAGATGCTGTATCCATACATCCCTGGATGAAAACCTTAATGACTTGAGCAATTATGAGATTATGCAGCTATAGAACAACGTCCTCACTAAAGACATTATTGGATAAACAGAAGAGTACGGCAAATGCAAAAAAAATTACATTACTTTGCAAATTGGACAAATATCATTGGGTTTTACTAAAATCTAAAGCATGTGTAAACTCACAAAAACCTTCAAATACTATGAAAGCACTGAACTGCATTTACACTATATGGATAAAATAAGTTAAAACTTTCAATAAAGACCAATCACAAGAACTCAGTTTATTGTGATTTACAAGTTTTTACCATGAAAATCTTGAAAGTGATAATTGCTAGTAAAACACTCAGCTAAAGCTGACAAAAACATAGTAATATAAAGTTTCAGGATTCGGGAATGGAGTCAATTTATAATAAAATCAAGGAATTTTTCAGTCCGGTCAACATGACTTGAGAAAATCTAGGCTCTGCTAACACAAGTATAAAGAGGATACCCTAAATAATTCTAATCAAATCAGATTCATTTTGGTGCTTGCTAATTCAACCAATTTAGGATACTCTACTACAGAAATGATAATGAATGCAGACTTGTGTGTACTGTAATTAATAGCAGCATTCATCATGTGGAAAAAGCTTCCCTGATCACAATAAAGAACATTAGAGACCAGTGTCACTAACACTACAAATAGAAATGATACTTTGACTTACCTTTGATTGGTGGGTACTGTTGGTGTCACCTGAGTTGTCTTGGTCAAAACGGTATGTCACGGGATGTGTCATGACATTAAGGGATACATAACAACTATTCAAATATAGCTTTTGAAAAATACATAACAACAACAATAACAAGTACTGTATGTTATTGTTAGACTAACTAGGTAAGTTTAAAACTGCAGATTATCAAACTAAATAGGCCTTCACATAGGACGACCATGAGCATTCAGGAACACCAAGTAAAATAGTGTGAAGTGACCTATGATTTTGCTCTGACTGACTGAGCCTTAAGAGTGAAACACCAGCAATAACAATAATTAACACTAATTAACAATGTTTGATACATATGATGCTGATTAGTGATAGGCAAATAGCTTAAAGAAATAAACAAATCATTAAGTTACTCTCTAATTACCAATATATCACAAGAAAGATTTCCTCCCTAATTAATTAACAATGGATAAACCATGAAGGTATTATATTTCTATAAAACAAAGAATGCTTTTATTAGTTGAGAAGCTAAAGAGGTAAAGCAAATCGATGGATAGTGCTTTAAGATAGCAAGACTGAAGTTTAAGGTCAGAGGGTAAATCTAACTCCACCAATAAACAACTCAGGATTTATGTAAAAACATCAGAACAATATGCACAGCCTTTGATGTTTTATTATTTTTTCTTCTAACCACATGATTAGAGAGTGGCGTTATTTTAGTTATGATAGGGGCCCTAGGAAGTAGGAAGAAATCGGGGTGTGGGGGCTGTCAGGGAGAAAAAGCACAATTCGCCGGGGAGAAAAAAATATTATATGTATTTTCTACATATTAGGAGACCTTAAAATCGATTAAATAAGACTTTGAAACCCCTAAATTGTCAAAAATTTCAGGGGCTTCGCCCCTGGACCACTTTCGAAACCTTTTAATCTTTTTTAAGCTCAACCACGCCCACTTTGCTTTCGTCGGGGAAATCTGACCACTCGTTCACCCCTTACCCACCCCCCCCCCTTGGGTAAATAGTGGCGCCACCCCTGTCCGGGCGATCTGGTTAAATGAACTTCCTTACATATTAAATTTTATTTGGCTGCACATGGCAATACCCATCGGCACAGCCTTCAGTAAGACAATTAATAATACAGTAGTATTGTAAAAACATGCAAATATTATGAATTTGCGAGAGGTAGGTTATATTCTGGGAGATTTTCTGCTTGTTGATGAGAGTGCGGGAGGCCATCCAAATTTCCGGGAGATCCTTGCGATTTCGGGAGACTTGGGACCCCTGTTATGTGCATAAAAATCCTAAAAGATTCGAACCCGGAACCTGTGAATGGACAGTAAACATCTTAACCACAAGGCTATGGTTCCACTCCAAATTTCCAACCTTGTATATTTGCACTAAGCTATTCTTATTTATCATTATCTCTATTGATTACATAAGGCTTGTTATTCGATGCATTGGTTTCTTAGAAATAAATGAAGTAGAGATTAATAGTAAATAATGATAAAGACTAGACTGCAAGATTAAATCATGCACCTATTAATAAGATCTTAAATATTAATAGGTCCATGATTAAATCAACAAGGTACAGTATACATGATGTGATTTAAGGAAGGTTCAATCTAGTGAACATAATAGACTAAATAAATGTGTATGGGATAATAAAATAATATTAATAACATGTAGATCCATAAAAACAATGAAAATTGAAATCATAAATTATCATAGTAATAATATTTACAAAAACTATATCAAACTAAATAAGCAACAACAACTTTAATAAAGAAAACACCTACTTAATTGGCCGCCATGGCAACACAACTACTGACAGACAGATCAGAAAATCAGATGATAAATCCAAAAAGCTAATTATTGCGGCTTCACTCAAAAACAGCTTGGTACAAGTTTTTCAGTTCCAGAAATCAAAACCTCCTTCTGTGTTCTAATTTTAATCGCAAAAAAATCAAAGGTTTTTTTCTTACAATTGGAATTTTTCTCTCATCAACAGATAGTGATGAGAAACAATGCAAACAAGAGATAATTTGTGTGATCTCTGAGCAGGAATACCAAAGAAGAAAGTTAAACGAAGCTTGTGATGCCTTGGTAACATATGTCGCCAAAAACAATGCTATTCCGTTCCGCATGAGTGACCTTTCAGCTGATTTTCAGATCCTATAACCTACATTAAGTTAAGGTCAGGTACAGTGGCAAATATATCAAGGATATCATAGCCGAACCGGATTCGATCACCGCGTGCTAGATTCACGTACGTCTGTTCACGTATGCGGGCCTCATTAATGAAAGTCTGTAAAACGAACAGAAAAACAATTACATTATAATAGGTTATTTCACAGTTTCTCCATTACTGCAAGAAAACTGCAGTGAATGTTATATGATAGATTTTATTTCACTGCTAAGAAGCTCTGTCCAGATAACCAATTTTTCTTTGACAAAAAACTGTTGTATGCCCATATATAGTCATGATGTGCCTATATATGGTCATATTCTGCCATTATGACCATATTAGGCATGTCAAAAAAAATTTGAAAGCCTGGGCAGGACTTAAAACATAACATAAACAAACATATTTTAATTATTACAGTAGGTGAGAATGTTTTACTAGCATAAATTCTACCAACAGATGTACTAAGAGAGGGAAACCATGATTCAGCATTTCAACCTTAATTCGGTCATCCTTATTATGTTTAAATAATATCTAACAAACGTTACTGAGGATGGCCTCCCTCTTATTATTTGGAGTAATGTTCGTTCTACAAATTCTACCAGTGTGGAATTCAACTCGGCAAGGCACTTCAATCTCTAAGTCTGAGTGTACTTAAGATTTGCTGTCGTAAAGAAGCTCCTCATATTGGGCATTGCCCACTACTTGTAGAATACATTGAATTTTTTCTATTCCTTTAGATATCATAGCCAAATGCATTGCAGCAAAATACTATATGCATAGTATTTGATGGGATATGTTTTATTTAATTTATTTAGTCCAAAGAACAATAAAACACACACAATAGACATCTCAATGAGAGCAGAAATTGACACAATTTTCTAAGATAACCTAAACAGTAAAAAGTAAGTACAACTGATTGGATTACTGTATATCTAATTCCAATGCATATCATCAAACACTCTATTAACCCTTAAGGGTGGTGGATCCAGGAATAGATTTTTTTTTATTGCCTCTTTTGACAATTTCCTAAAAGTAAAATAGATTACAAAACTGCTTCCATGTCTCCTTGTCTTTCCTGTTTTAATAATCATGGATTTGTTCCATAATAACCCACTATACTCAAAATACTGTACATACTGCCGAGTATGGTATGTGGAAGAATTGTATTTACATGATGGCCATCTATTTTGAGATGTACTCTACTGCGTACAGGCAATTCATTCTAAATTTTTTGTAGCCGCAAAAACGAAGGTATTGAGACTCTGTCAAAAATTCACTAAGTAGAAAGTGGTGACATTGAACCACAGCCTAAAAACTAAAAGTATGGTACTTTATGTTTCAACCGCTCTATTAATCTTCCAGTCATACTTTGTCACAATTATGAATGATGTACATAAACATATGCAGTGTAACACTGAGTGAAATACAGTACAGATTAAATCATTTCATGCAATATTAAAGTCAAAGGTCATTAGATGATGTAAAATTTATAGCTAAAGAAAACAGAGATGAAGTATACTGGTGTTTATTGTTAAATCTAACCAAGAAGTTAATTCTAATAATGCAAATTTACACCAAACAGAACTTTCTATAAAGATAGAAGATTTAATACATTGCAGCATTCATAATAAAGTTTATTTATTAATTAAGCCCTGACCAGACTATCAAATTCTGACATGCCTCAATATGGGCATGATGAACATATACTATATAGGCATGTCATGACAGAGCTTTAAAATCATAATGATTTGTCCAGCATGAGGTCTCATATACTGTACATCATGGCAGATACAATTTCTACCAGTTGTACTCAGATATCACAAAGACACCCACAAATGCTTATGAATCATCCAGTAGTAATAAATCACAAACTCAGAGTAATGTACCTATTAATCAACGAGTAACCAAGTAAAGCTTATAACATTCCATTACATAATTCCACCGGTATTATCTGGCACTTACAAATCCACTGGGAAATCATCAAATGCCGACACCATACCTTATCATCATTTCAACTTTACAGAGGTCATTCTTATTCACTGGACATAAGCAAAAACTAATGTAGGTATTTTCACCTGGAACTATAAAGGAAGGAATAAAATCTTACCCCATTTAAACTTCCTATATCTTTGATTGTGAAAACATTGCTATAGTTGTCATAGTTGATGACTGCATGTCGCTTATCAACGCTTCTCGACTGAAATAAAAAATTAAAAAATGATGGCGCAAATGGTACATATTGTCGAGATATTAGCTACAGTAGTTTAGAGGTTTAAACAATTCACGAAGGTTAGTTTATTTTATAAATATTCTAAGATTATACCTTTTGATTTTATAAAATAATTGATTTTAAAATGTAAATTTTGCGCTAATAAATGAACAAAATAATCAAAATCGCTCATTAGCTTTATCATCGGCTAATTGTAATACTGTAACAGTTGAACGAGACTATCATTGAACAAAGCTCAACCTAACTGACATTTAAAATGAAC